ATATCCTATTATTTGATTTATGCCCTGTTCAATCATGGTCTTAACCTACTTACCTGCTGATTCAGTACAGCTTCTTGTGACATGAGAGATGAAACATGTCCAGTCTGGACCAGGACCAAGCTGGGTGACCGAGCATCGACGTTTGTGTTCCGCTGGAGGACGGGAGGCAGACACCGGCAATGACATCATAGGGGTCAATCGAATTCCAAATCTCTCCAAAGGCTTTGTGTAAACTTCATTACAAGCACGGGAAACTCTGCCATTTATGGATTCCCTAGTGTACTGAGAATTGTTACATAATGACTTGTACTGAGAATTGTTACATAATGACTTGGTAAGCTTGTAAGTTTAATCCGATATCAAACAGTGCGACCAGAGATATTCGTCAGCCGAGTTCATATCGATATCGAATTCAATTAGAGGATTCCCAATCTGTATCAATGTCATCAAGCTTAATTAAGATCGAATTAGAAGGCAGTGGTGTAGTAATAGAGCTTCTTGGGCTTTTAACTACAGCTTTAGAAATTAATAGGTACTTAGTCTCTAGTATTAATTTCTACATATATGCCCAAAAAAATTAAGATAGAAGAAAATCCATATGTGTTACTGTAAGTTACTAGTCTCAATGGGACATTTCAATAATTAAAAATTTAAGTTTTAGTATTCATTCCAACTTAAACTCTCAAACATTAAGATAATAAGAAAGGATTTAAAATCAGGCTATCCCCAATTATATACTTTGTTTTAAAAAAAAGTATATACTTACGGCTTTTCCTTATTCCACTTCATATTAGCCTGAATAATTAATTGCGCGAGTTGAGGGACATAGTGGCCTGCATAGCTCTTTCCGGTGATGTAAAAATCTCTGTTCTTGTACTCAGGAAATTGAAGGAACCAGCGCTGTAAGAACACGAGATTATCCCGTGCTTAAAGAGTAAAGATCGTCGTGTCAAAATTGATTAATTTGCAAATCAAGAATACATTTTCAACTTATAAATTAATAAGTGAAAATAAAAGAAAATAAACCTCTGACTTCATCATTCAAATTGGCGAAAAATGAATTGTTAGTCGAATGTGAAAATCCAACACTTGCTGGTGACTCCAAGTACAACATATTAGCTTCTGCAAACATGGAAAATGCTTATTATTTACTCATCCATCAGAAACAAAGTCATTCAACTTTCATATTTTATATAAACCATACAACGGGAGATAGATAGTTAGCTCTTCGACACATCTTCGATGAACCTTTGTTCCAACTGAACTCGTTCCTGATTAAAGTCTCTCCATTTGTCTTGAAGGGGCCATGCTCCACAAAAGCTCCAGTTCCTAAAGATGAACATCCACGCCCTGGAACACCAAAACTAGATCATTAATCTTGAATCCAAAATTTTGAGATAAGAAAGTGCTAAATATGCAGAATAATTAGAACAACAAGGAGAAGAAGATACTCAAGTAACATTAATTAAATCACCTCCATTAAGCCAAAGAACAAATGGCTTTAAGGAAGGGTCAGTTTCTGCTTCAACAAAGTAGAAAAACAGGGCTCTCTGTTTCTTATTGTTGACGGTGATGTAGCCAGAGAACCACCGGAAACCAACCTTTGGTTGCCCTGGCAGGGCAACAATTTTGTCAGCTTGGGAAAGGAGTGCGTCATTACCCATATCTGCATAAAAGTACTAAAGGCTAAGGCGGTGGTAATGAAACTTATTCCATTGTTTAAATTTCATGCCTAAGGAAGGTAGGAAGGTGGGAGAGTGACACAGGGGAAGGAATGTGGAGGTGAAAAGAAAGGATATGTAATTATATTAAACATATTTTATTGGGATATATATATATATTTTATCTTAATTGCACAATAAGAAGTAATTTTTTTTTTATTTTACTTCACTCGTATGTCATGTGATTTAAATTTAAGATTTTTACTTTGAACAAAAAAAAAATATCATTGAATTATTTAAATTATTAATTAATTACCTAAATTATTAATCAATTTATTTATACATATTTTTACTTAATCAGTGACGGAGTAAGGGGCTGAAGGGGCCATGCCTTGTTCTCCTTCTATGTTTTTCCTTTTTAATAGTGAAGGTATTTTCAGACAAATTTTTGCATATTTTAGTATTAATCTTTCTTTAAATGATAAAGGTGGCATGCCAATGGCGCATTTAAAGAAGTTTTTTAAGTGGTGAATCAAGACTTGAATTTAAGTTTAACTTACAAAACACTTGCTTTCTACCATGTAAAATCTTATACTAAGAGTGAAGATCTCACAATTTACAATCCTATCGACCTATTAATTCTAGATAGAAAATGATTAAAAAATAATTTTTATATACAATATTTTCATACAACTTAATTTATTATTTAATAATTCACTCTTTATTCAATGAAGACCAAAGATAACCTCTAGTTAAGTAAAAATCCAAATAAGAAATAACATAAAATATTATATATATATATTTTTTAATAATATATAAAAATTATAAAAAAAATATTGTTCGTAAATTATTACCAACTTTAAATAGGATAACAACTTTTAATGATGTAAGGTTGTTTGGCGGTGGAAATGACAAAAGTATCATTAAAGAAGTACAAATAGCTAAGACCATATAAAAATAGTTTCAAACTTGAATGAATAATTTATTATTTAAGTAAATTAGTGGTAATATTTTTTTTATAAAAATAAGAGGCTCTAAATTCAAACGATGTGGTATTTTTATAAAAAGAAGAGATTTTGAATTTGATATATATAATATACAAGTGGAGTTGATTAAAAATTATAAAAAAATTGTTTTTTATTATATAATACAAAATAAAATAAAATAACTTAAATGAATATAGAAAAAAATTATCAGTCTAATATGAAAATCACAAGCTTCTTATAAAACAGGAGATAATTGAGTTGGAGAAAAGTAAAAAAGATAAGGTAAGACAATGAAAAGAGAACAGAGGAAAAAGTATGGCAAATAGTAATGCTTTTTATTCTTCTATTTCCATATCTTCTTTATACAATGCAATTATATAGGCTAATGGAGAATGGATGTTACATAAATTCAATGAATAAACTTAAGTAAATTTATGAATGAATCTAATTAAAATATTGAAGTTTACTAGTTTCATGAATGTGGTGATTTCATGAATATATCAATTTATAAATATAGTGGTTCCATAAATATAGTTTAATGTCTATTACCTATTTTAAAAAAAATGTAGTTTAATGGAACCCTAAATAAGGTTAAGTAAATGTGGAAGATAAGAGATGGGAGATGGGTAGGGATGGTAATTTCCTCCACGACCTGTGGAGCTTCGCGGAGATCCCCATCATAAGGATGGAGATTTCAAAAATATATATTTCTTCTCGTGAGGTGAGGATGGAGGCTTTTTTTTTTCTTGTGAAATTTAACGAGGAATTTCCTCCACCTTGTGGGAAACCATGCAAATCCATATAAAATAAAAAATATATATAAATTTATGTTTATTTATATATATATTTGTAAATATATTAATGATTAATATTTACTTACTCAACCTAATTAGCTAATCCAATACCAGTACAACTTAAATTTCACAATCTATTCTTTTTTCAGTTTCCCCAAACCTAATTGTCAAGTCTAGCCCATTCTTTTTGCTAATCTAGTCTTCTTAAACCTAATTGCCCAACCCAATTTGCATTGGTAACTCTAGAAGGACTATCCAAAGATTTCAATTTCAAATTTGCGATTCCTCTTCTCCAATCTCCTCTGCGGCTCTGTGCTGTAACTCTGTTTCTACTCCTCAATCCTCATCTGTGATTCCCTTCAAGCTCACACCGTCACTACCCATTGTGCAACCACTACAACGCTGATCTTCTCCCATCTCTCACTCACACTTGACTCGATAACTCTTCTCTAGTCTCTCAACCAGTCACTGGTAACTCATCTCTTTTATGCCCTTTTTCTTAATGAACTTATTGCTCGACATGTATAGTAACAGTTTATGCATTTTTTTTTCTATGAACTTTGTTGATGACAATTGTAATTTACGTTTTTTTTTTCGAACCTTTTGTTGGATTTGTTGGACTTATATGGCAATTTATGCTTTTTTTTCTTTATAAACTTGTTGCTAACTTGTTGGATCTGCTCGACATGTATATATTGGCTGTGTATATTTACTGCTTGTTTGTCTCGTTTCAAATTTTTATTTTATATGATTATTTGAGCTAATTTTATTTGATGAATGTGGAAACCAATGAAGTCTAAACAAACTTATGTTGAGCTTAATTTTGATTAACAAGTAGCGGAGCAAGTGATAGTTGTATTCGGCAAGGATTCTGAATACTCGCGAATACCTATCATTCTCGCGGATACCTATTATTCTCCACGAGTATGGGGATGGAGGTTATTTTTGAACCTTCGTAAAAAATTTTCGTGGGAATTCCCATACCTATCATTGACGGGGATGGGGATGGGTCCCTGCCTCTATAGGACCCATTGCCATCCCTAGAGATAGGAGATGAGAAATGTTAGCTGGAATGTGTAAGACGACGCATCCATTTATTTGTATGGTTGATAATAAAACTGAAATATTATTAGGTCAAAAGTTAAAACCCAAGATAGCCTTCACCGAAGCGAAAACCAAATAAGAAATAACAGAAAATATCTTCCATCAAGTTCTGAGAGAGATTTGGTGATGGGCTGACGAGCCTATGGTCCAAAATCAAAATGCATTGGGCCACAAAACCTTAGCCCAACGT